GAATTTTTGTATTTTTGTTTTCACTTTTGCTCAAAATAGTATTTATTTTCCACCTTTCTTAAAGTATCTTTTAAGGAATTTTCAGCTAATTTCAAACCACTGAGTAGTGTATGAAAACCATGGAGTAGGTAGCTCTGTATGGACAAATAATTGAGAATGTGAAGAGCATAGTTGAAGCCCTACTATGGCCTATATATTGAATTATGGAATATATGTATCACCAAAAAAAATACATGTCCCAAGCCAAATAATGAGAGAATCATGGTTTTTATAGTACTACTGATTATGTATAGAAAATGTACTAACATAGACATTTCCTAGCCAGACTCACTTAGTAGGTTATTAGCCTTGTGAAGATAATTTCCTTTAGTTATTTTAAGAGTGACAAATTGTTTGTTAAGTGAGCTTGTACTACACCTAATGCACAATAACACCTGCCTGCTGAGCACTACTTTGAAAAGCACTTTAACAGAATTATTTCAGTAAGAAGCTTTAAAAATACTCCAACTGGAGGTCATATCAAAGGTTATTGTGATGAAATGTCTTTGCAAAGTTTTGCCAATAGAAATTTTAATCTTATTGTTTGCATTAGGATAATGATTAGTTCCTATTTCTGTATCTGGTTTCAGGAGTTTTGAATCTGAGGAATGGTAGAGGTCCCAGGGAGCTCCAGAATCTTCTTATTTATATGTGGAATAAAACAGCCTGTAAAATTTAACCAAATGAACTAGTAGATAACAAAACTAGGGAGATAAAAGGGAGGAAGATCAAACATTTAGGTGAAATATAGGTCTTGTCAGCTCTTGCTCTGTATTTTTCTAGAGAGTTTCAGTATATGGAAGGAATGGGATGCAGTTTAACATTTTTATGTATATATGTTAAAATGTTAACCTTATTTTTCTATGTCTTTTCAAATGAATACACATCAGTGCTGTTCAGCAGCTCAAGTCTATACTTTACCAGTTGTTAATGTCACATAGACATAATGGAAGAAAGAATTCTCAAGGAGGGATTAGAAGGAGGTGAGAGTAACGGTCTCCAGATCTGTTAAGGGACAGGATAGGGGCCATGAATAAGTAAAAAGGTTTGTGTATAAAGGCAGCACCAGTAGGAGTTAAGAGCTGAAAGAAACTATTTTTAAGCAGATCCATAAATTACTGCCTAGAAATAAAAAAAATGACAGATCCATAAAAAACTCTTCTAGAATACTCATGAATTCATACTCTGTGTCTGGCATCAAGAGTTGAAAATTTGAGAAAGAATTCCACCATTTTTGCTTCTCAAGGTATAAATAGCTAGTTTCTGTTAAGGATTTATCCCTAGTGAATGAATGCTGGTTTTAAAGCTACAGTGAGTTTCATTGAAGTACCTGTGTTCACAGAAATCTGTAAAACCTTAACCTATAGCCCTTCTTGTAAATGGAACGTAAGGAAATCAAATCGCACTCATGAAACCCTGAATAAACGTAGAGACCTATTTTCAGTTCTCTCTGCCTATCAGGTTGCCCATCCTATACATGCAGTTCCTGCCCAGGTCTAATATCCTGCCCCTTAATACTTAACCACTTTTATTAATTTTTTAGTAATTATCATTTTGAAGCTCCATTGGTTTGTAAAGTCATATTCATGTTCTGTGAGAACTGCAGACATTTTAATATGATCCATTATCATTCCCTTAGCTGGAATGCAGTGAGTGGTATGATTGCTTTTTATCAGGATCTGTCTCAAGTAAAAAGGTTAGTGTAAAGCACCTCCTGCGTTAGTTACTAAAGCCTCTTCAAGATTTATTTTGATTTGTGGTTACATTTAACCTCTTGATTACTTTAACACATCTGGCTGAAAGCTATTTCCCAAATGCTTTTGACTTTATTTCTATTTCCTCTGTGAAAAGAAAGCACACTACAAAAAACTTTATTACATAGTCTAGAGGAAGATAAGAGAAATTATTTTTCAAAAAGAGTGTAATATAACAATTCTGCTGTATGTTTACTTAGATTTATTGCTTTATTACAGATCTTTCACCAACATTTTAGTTCTATCATCTATAAAATATGTGGATGCCATTCTTATTATGATTTTTTTAAATCAAATGTTATTCAACTGAATTTATTGTTTGGCAATTTGTCTATCATTTATTTCCCCACTTTTACCTAACAAACTGTTACATATGAGCTTACACCAGTTTTATAAACAGTTTCTTTTTATAACTTAACCACCCTAGAGCTGTGTTCCTATGCAGCACCAAAAAAGATTTGTATCATATATAACAGAGTTTAAGCTGGTTCTTCTAGCTCATCCATGTTCTCTTTTCTTACTACTTTCTTACCACCTTTATCTATCATGCATACCTGCACGGCAATGAATGTTATCAGTACAAAATTGGATTTGCTCATATATTTTTTAGTCATGAACAATTAAACATAAAAAGAAGGTTCTTTATATTTTAAACTATCCACTCCAAAGTAATTTCTTGTTGATCACCATCACCAGCCTATTTCTTACTAAAATATTCCTTTCTCCTTAAAAAGCATATGAAATCCTATGATCCAAAAAGTGGTGGACTCCATGCCACTGTAACAGGAAAAAGCTGTTTAATAACTTCATATTATACCAGGCTGCCTATTTTAATATCTTTATATTGACCAAGATAAATGTTTAGATTTAGCACTATTACTATTCACTATTTCTGCAAATACAGACAACTACTTTTCAGACTTTCTTAAAGACAAGATCTGACTGCATGCCTAATCTATCTATTTTCTAGGGCTAATCTTTCATTAAAATGACAATAACTTTTTAAATTTAATATATAAATATCTCCTATAGTGTATATATAAATATGTTGAATTGTGTTGCAGCACCAAACACTGAAGCATAATGATTCGGTGTGTAAAGCATTCTTATCAGGAAAGCAATCCTATTATATATTAAAAATATATATATATACACTGTACATCAAAACTGTGACAATGAGGAAGTATTTCTGCACTTCTAGTTAAAGTCACAGTAAGACTGGAAAATATAAGAAAAAAAAAGAAGGGCATCTGTCCAACTTCAGTCAGCTAACTTAGCCAAGCTTGTAGTCAAAGAAAGGATGCTGGCTCAAGGGATGATTTGAAGCATCTTAACTGAGTTTCTGTTCTGAACTGCCTGACAGAGAAGTCTCTCTCCCTTGCTTCCCAGTTACCATCCAAGCAGAGTCTAGGGAAACAGCTGAGGCTTATCCCTTCAATATCCTAAGTGTTGACTTTTGCAGCAACAATTCTAGTAGTTAATGTTCAGGTATCAGTACGTTTTTCAGGTGAAGTCTGGTCTGCAGTTACACTGGAATCAAATGCAAATCAGTTTCTTTTTCTTTCCTTCCGCCTCCCCCAACTAACTTCTCATATAAGTGAGAACACCTTGAAAAGCCTGTTTGTCATTCAAAATTAAAGAAATCTGGGAAAGTCTCAACAAATCTTCCACTAAAAATTCAGAAATCTTAATTGTTTCAAATTCAGCATTGTACAAATCATGCTACTGAAACTGGAGGCAAAGTTCCTTGCTTCATATGCATACACAAATTTCAGTATATAGCCTATGTGTACTAATTAATGTTTACAGAACTTATATATTCTGCAAAAAGAAAACGTTTTTACTAGCACTGAATTAAAGACTTCAATGCCTACTTACTATAAAAGACTAATCCCTCCCTTTTCTTACCAAGTTATTATTTTAGCCACAGACTAAAAATACTAATTTATAGTATGAGCTATCATGATTTAACATAGAATATCTCATCTACTACTGATGAAACAGAATTACTTTAAATCTTTAGATCTGGTGTGTTTAATGCCAAGGAGTGAGCAACAGACAAGTAGGATACAAGAATGCCATTCTTCTGTTCTGCTAGGCATTTGAGGATGAACTAGTCAATCTGGGCAGAACAGAAGGGACATTTGTTCTATTTAAAAACAGTAAAAACATACAGTATCAGAACATTTATAGCAAATATAAGTAAACAACCAGACTGAGAAACAAAATTGTATAAATAGTTTTGATTGCAAGCAAATACAAAAGCACTTCTGACAGTCTAAAGACAAATTATAAAAATTGTAGCTTTTTAAAATTCAAATAGTTGTGTGAAACGACAGGTGTTTTTCAGATAACGTTTTTAAAAACTGGAAATTTATGACTGAGAGGAAAAAAACAAACACACAGAGATGTCAGCTTACATTTCTGAATTGTACTTACCTTTTCCATCTAATTTCTGTGCTATTGTCAGTTTTAGCAAAATTAAGAAAAGGGAATACTGTTCAAACAGAGAACATTTCTGGAACTGAAGCAGAATTTTCAAATACATCTAGCACACTTTTTAAAATAGATTATTCAAACTTTGAGCAGTGTATTAAGCCAGTTCTCTATTAGCATGATCCCCCAGTTTCAGTTTTCATATGATTTTAGCTGGTGATGCTTTTTAACTAATGAAGAGTTAATATTCTTAGCTGTTTGAAAGGTGATTTGCAACATTTCAGATGGTATTATGCATTGTTTTCTGTCTTTTGATACATTAATTACAACTGTAGCCCCTTCTGTTGCAAATGTTTGATTTTAAAATTGTCACTTGTCAGCCAATCCAATAGGCTACTTCAGAACCAATACAGTTTATGCATGGGAAGTTTGATGTTGAAATAATATTTATTTACATTCCCAGAGTGAGATGGTTTAATATATTCATGCTGCTATAAAAGACATGCTAAAAAGCCTAATCGTATTTTGTGTATATACTATTGTGTACAGAGAATCTTGCTTGTATTAAAATAAAAGAGAAATGAGGTTCTAAGTTTCAATTTATAAACCAGTTCTTTGTAAAATGTTACAATGTTTTGTGAAGCACTATTTAATGAAGCATTAACTATTGGTAAACCCGTAGAAACTACCTTTTTCAGAATTCAAAATAATTTCCATCTCTTTATTTATGTTTGCATTTCATAAAGTAGCTTACTGCCCCTCCCAGAGAAACTGTCCCTACTCTTGCTACACTAGGTAAGTGAATCACATGAGATAAAACAGGCAGCATATGAGTGGACGGACTTATAATTTGTGCACTGACCTGCTGTAAATACAAAAGCAAATGGAGACTTAAAAATGATACTGCCCTTCCCCCAACCATGACTTTCTTTCTGCAACCTGTGGCTCCTTCCCAGCAGAACAGCTGGCAGATTTTATTGCTGCCATAGCAACCCTGCCGTCAGCCCGTTGGCTTGGCAACATAGCAGCAGGAAAAAACACACTTCACATCTGAGCTGTTCTTGGGCTCACAGATGTATTTTTTCAGGTTGCATTCCTAAATGCTTATTTACTGTTCAGTTTAATAAATTTTGCAATAAAAAATCCTATACAGTCCTTATTTGCCAGTGAAATTAGATCATCTTCCCTGGAATCTTGTAAAGAATCAATATCCATTCCTTGCAATGTCACAGTAGATGGGTCAAATCTCTGCAGCAGTTTCAACTGATCAAGTGACAGTCCAGCTCCTCTCATGCCTTCACCTCCGATATGAGGTTCCTTTTTAAGCAACAATAAAAGCAAATTAGTAAATCCGTAAAGTTCCCACTACCCTACATAAGTCTGCTGAGTATATGCAGAGCTGCCTAATGCTTAATCTGAACAAGCTGAGTTTATATCATTCACTCTGACGGGGACTCAGAAGTAAGGTGGTCCTTCTTTTCTTGCCCATGTATACACAAGCATAAATACATGTCCAAGCACTGTGAGGAGGTGGTGGTGCACCTAATCCACTTTAGTCCAGTATTTCATAATACTTATTGAGGACAGGTACACAGGTCTAAATAAGTTCATTACTCAAAGGACTGAAACACCATAAGAAAGATTTTATCACCAGAAAATAAGAAGTTCTAAAGGTTTTAGGTTTTCACTTTTAAAGATGCAGTGCTTCTGTGTACTGACTAGTAGCTATGAATTAAGCCAAAAATAGTGATTCTATAACCAGTTACTAATATAGTCAGTAACAGCAGTAGAAATACCTGGATTCTTCATAATAAAAACTGCAACTAGAGACACTGAAAGCCCCAATCCAGAATACTGTCTGAAAAGGCATCATTTTGGAAGATGATGCAGCAGAAAAAAATGAGCTTCAGATTCTCTGTGTCATGTAATTAGACTACCAGGTTAATGGGACTACTGCTACATGTATATGCGTAAGAGGCAGAGAAAGAAAGACGGGAACAGCTGAATTCAGTAGATGACAATTGGCATCAAAATCCTGTAGAGGAGGGCTTAAAATCACAGCCCTTTTCTCAGCATTTCTTGTTGAGTAGCTTGGACTGTTTATTTTTTTTTTTAATACACTGATTCCTGGAAAAATCTAATTCTTAGCTGTACTGTTCTTTCAGTGCATTCAGTAAGAAGATAGAACAAAATGTGCAAAAGCTGGCATTGCAATATCAAAAATAGCCCTCCTTTGTAAAACTAGTCTAATGTAGTCTATAATGCAGCCTACAGCAGAGTATTTTTTAAGTCATCACACTATGCTAATACATGAGCTCAGCCAGTCAGCACATGATGTGAGTTTGTTGCTTAACCACATACTGTGTGCTGTAAAGCTGGGCAGCCAAGAGGCTGCAGCCTGGTTCTTCTCTTACTTTCCCTCAGCAGGGTTTTGATTATTTCCAGGTAAGAGACAAAAAGAGGTGTCCATTGCAAATTGAGGAAAAAAACCCATACAAAGGTAGACAGGGACAGCAACTTGAAGTAATGAAATAGAAGGATGGTAAGCCTAAGGAAAACAGTATTACACAGGGTCCAGCAACTTGCTCAAAGACAGATCAGTTTTGCCCTCTACATTTTCCTTTTTCTCTCCAGTTAAATTACTGCAGTTAAACTGATATACAGTATCTCCTTTGTAAATCTCAAAGAAGAAGCTAGTCTGCACAAAGGCTCAGCTGCCATGCAGTGACCTCCACCTACAAGATCAACAGATCTATGACTCCATCTCCTGTTTTTTACTTATCCAGCATAATTCCAGGATCTGTTGCCAAAGTGAGAAAGTGGAAGACAATTAACTGGGTACACAGCAAGTGTCCACTGAGAAAGTATGGGAAATACATAAACGATAATGATATAAGTCGACCCTAGACTCCATTTTCCTGTCCAATGGAAAAGATCACCTTAGTTTACACTACTGGGGAACTGGTTATAAGATACTACTACCTACCTATGGATAAACAATTCAGTGTCATGTAATCTCATTTAAAATATACTATACTCAAAAGCTTAATAGATACGGCATTTGTTTGTGAATACTAGTGCTAAACTGAAGACTGGTATTACTGGTGAGACAAAGTCTATTAAACCAGTATTAATCTTGTATTTGACTTCACAGGGCTTGTGTTCTGCATTGTCCTTGTATCAAGGACATTTTTTACGTTGTTAGGTAAAATGTATAATATCAGTTGAAATAGCTGCAACTGAAAAATTCCTAGTAAATGGATCATGAGAAACCAGGCAAGGGAACCGTGGCGCACACATAATTTAAGAAAAGCTTCAGTTAATCCCTTACCAGCCTACATATAGTTTCTCATTGTAGACCTATTCTTTTAATTCTGTGAAAAGGTGCATCTTAACTTTTTAAGACAGATACAAATTATAAACAGTAGTAAAGCTAAGACCTTTCCTCAAAGCCATGATGATAAACAACTAACTCACCCAACTCATCACAGCAACAGAAGAAGAGAGATGCATACAGTTTGATGATAAACTCTCTTCAAGGTACTAATAAAGGTAACAGATATTTTTGAAATGTATGTGGTATAGATAAAAAATTATATTATCTCCCTATATATTACTGCCTGCCAGACATCTTAATGGTAGACACTGACTCCAAAAAAGACAAGGTACATTCTTCAGACGCTGAGCCTGAAATAAATTTATTCCTTCATTCCTCTGAATAATGCAAAAATAGCTCCCATATATATAAAACCCTCCTTCCTCAAAACACAAGGTTATTTCTATTTATCTCCTATCCTTTATGCAAGTCTTTACTACTTCAGTAGCATTAATAAGATTTTTTTCATCTCTCCTGTGAATGTACAAAATAATGAAATAAAATATAAGCATTAAAGAAGAATTGCAAAATAAATTTTCACATCTCTGAATGATCTTTTGTTCCTGTTGTGGTTTAAATGACTGTTGTACAAATCAAAACAGCCACACCACACAGTGCGGAAACTACTTAACATTCCCTAAATGAAGCTCAATTAAACATGAAAATAGATTTAAAAGAGCCTCAGAAATCCTTGTGTTATTTCTTATCTACAGCAGTTAAACAGTCTTCAGTGAAAAGAGATTTATTGATACTAAATATAGCATGTAAGTTTACTGTGCCAGAACAAGCTCACTGGATTGTGTGAAGTACCCTTATAATATTGTTACCTGTGGCTGAAGCTGGAGACATGGAAAAGTTTTCAGGGCCCAAGCAACTTGCTCCTCATTTTCAGAGAGTGTGATTGTACATGTACTATATACTAAAACACCTCCAGGCTTCAGCAATTTCACTGCCTGCAGGGAAAAATAAACAGTAGTTCAGCTTGTTTTAAAATGCAAAAACTTGCACCTTAAGAAGAAACCACTAGGCTATAATATTAAAACTTAGCACTTAATTAAACTCAAATCTTTCTCTCTAAGATAGGCATTAGGATACTTATTCTTCTCAGGGAATACAGTAGAGGATGCTGTTGATTAGAAAGGTTCTTCTTTCCAAATCAGCATTATAGCTCATGCAGTTTATTAATGCCATTGAGATAACTCATGTTGTAAGATTTGTTATTTGTACAGCTCTGCATATTGCAGACAGATTAGTTCTATTTTCATCACCTGCTGCCAACCACAGATACACGAGATTTTTACCAGTGATAATAGATGCTGTTTCCACATATTTGGCATGGAAAGTATATCTATACTCTTTTTCAAGCTCTGCTTCACCTTGAGTACATGTAATTCAGACTTAGACAAGTTTAATGAAACCTTATGTTTCAGCATCAGCCTAAGCATGCTCCTACTAGCTTGAAAAGTCGTAATGTGGCCTCCCGGTTTGTACTCCATCACATATCCCATACAGTAACTCACAGCACTACTGTATCTGTGTCTGTGCTGCTGCAGAGCAAATACTCTAACCTGCTCTGTGACTTAGACCCTTGTGATTATTAAAAATTAAAACTCACGAAACTGAAGAAATGAAAAACTTTGTATTACTTTGACTTACATACACCTTTCCCATGCTCAATGAATTGATTTCACTTAGCAACAGATATGGTGAAGCTAAGAGGTTAACTAAATGCTAACACTCAGCTGCTGAAAATGCACCCACTGCTTCCTGAAGGCATCTGAGGGTGCCAAGTGCTGGATGATGCCCTGGGATCCTCTGCATTAGAGTTGTAACAGCACAAGGGAATAGACAGAGGCTGTGCAATCACCAGGAGCCCATCTGCAATAAAACATCCTCCTCCTGGAGCTGAAGGTGGCCAGTTTGCCCAGGGGCAGATGGTGGAAGAGGTTCTGGGGTTGTTTGGGCTTGAGCTGAAGACAGCATGAATAAAAAGATGAAAGGTAAGTACAGCTAGAGTCTAAGAGGGTCTGGAGGAACCAGGAGGTGGCCTGAGCCTGGCACAACACTCCATGACGCTTATGTCCCCAGCAGGCTGTGAAATCCATACTGTCACCTGCAAGCCTAGGGAAGGTGTGTTCTGTGGTCAGCCTGCTGAGGATCTGGATGCATGCTTGGATGAGTGCTGCCTGGTAGCATTGGAGCCAGCTGGCACCTGCAGTGTCCAGGCACCTTGACCCAGCTACTGCTGAAGGGGACAGCAGCAGGGACAAAGGGGTGTGTTTGTGTCAGCACCAGAAATGAAGTTGGTGGTGGTGGCCCACGTCCTCCTCTCCTGATTCAGGTGTTTAAGGGGCTCCCAGTGCTGCAGCCATTGCATCCACCTGGGGACATGGTTGGGGATAGTCCTAATTTCTCTGCTCCTTACCAGTAGCTGCTGGCACCTACTGCTGGTCCTAGAGGCTGAAATCAGCTCTCTCCACTCCAGATGGGCTTTCTGAGCTTCTCAGCTAATTTTTCATCCCGAGGGGGCATCAGCCATTTTTCAGCATCTGCTTATCACTCCTTAAGTAGGGAAAATAAGGCACCATTTTTCAGCATGAAATAAGTTTTATGCTGTGCAAGCACTTATGTTCAATTTAGCTTATCTGCTCAACAATGAATACATACCACCGTGAAAAGCTTGCGCTGCAGTGGCTGGTAAGAGGTCACTTCCTTTAAAGTTGAGGAATAAGCCATGTTTGGTCTCTGTCCCATCCCACTACATGGAGCATCGAGAAGAATTCGATCAAACGACTCTGGTAAGAATGGAGGTCCTTTGGTAAAAAGCAGTTAGTAATGTAAAATGTGGCCGTTTCTTTCCTTGAGGCTTCACCACAGATAAGGACAAACTGTTACTTCTTCCATGACATAAAACACCTATGTGTGTGTCTGCAAATGTAATCTCAGAGACAAGTCTCAGCGCTGCTAGTGGTAGATTTCATCTCCCAAAAAACTGAAGTTTTAGTTCTGCGAGTTTAATGATTACATGATCCCTTTCAGCAATAGTATTTTTAAACTTAATTTAATAATTTGAAAGTAAAATGTAAAAGTAATTAAAAAATCTTTAAATATGATTGTTCAGAGGAGCTGGGTACAGAGTTGTACATCAAGGCCCTAGTCAGCTCATAACTGAACCAAGTGTGCAAATCTTTACTGATAGAAGCCATTAGCCATTAAGATTGAATAATAATAATTGGACTGTCTATATAACTATTTCTTGCAATGCATATGTATCTGTAGAAAATAAAGCACTTTATAGTAAGATAAAATATTATAAGTTCTAATATGTGACACATCCTGTCTCCACAGCAGAACAATTCAGTAAACAAGGATTGTGAAGACAAGGACAATTTGTAAATATTGTCTGGATAGATAAGGGCATATGTAACTTCTTTCATCTAAATGCTGCTGGCTCAACAGTCCAAAATTTTCTACTGCCTTTGTGCCAGACAGACTCTTCAGCTCAGCATCATTAAGACAATAGTACCTCCATAGATGTATCTGTGAGTAACCAATGATGAAGAAAGCCACATATATGCTTTACTTCCTTTTCTCCCTCTGTTCCTTAAATATTCAAGTTAGGTCAGAAGTAAAAACAAGTGGATGACTTTATACTACTTGCTACCTAGCTTGTTCCAGCACTATAAAATTAGTCTATTTTGGCACTACTGATTTATATACCTCTGATCCATTACCACAATGTTCAATATATGTCATGTCTTACTTGCAGGCATACACAGAAAAGACTTAATCATCTTTCAGCATTACAGCTAGCTTGTATTCATCTGTGTAAGTCACAATATGTTATGTTCGTAGAAATACTACTAAGGAAGTACCTTTATTTACCTATTTACCTATTAAGGTACTTCCTTAAGAGTCTTTCTATTCCTGCAAATCAGGAATCTCTGCAAGGTACAGGAACAAAGAAGGTGAATTATGCAACCTGATTCCTACTTAGGCTAACCAGTGACTGGGATAAAACAGAGTGAGAAAGAACAGCATACTTTCCACAATGAACTAAAAATAATCAAGACAGCAGATACCATTTAAATGGTTCCATCATGGGAACAGAACCAGTATCATAAATACGCCACTTCAGAAAAGCAAATTAAATGAACTTAAAATAATACACTGTGCTTCTATAGAACTTTCCCCTGAACAGCTGAACAAACATCAATGAACTAAACCTTGCAGCACCCCTGGGAGTTAGGTATTAATAACCCCATTTTATGGATGAAGCTGTGAGGCAGAAAACCCAAGCAATTCTGCAAAAAATATTTTTTTCTCAGCCTAAGTAAAAAAATCAGAGTATGGGATTAAATGTTATAATGAAAAAAGCTTTAAAGCTTCTTCAGTCTTTAATAATAACTGGGAGAGGAATACATTTCCTTTGAGCATTTTAGGTTGTGATAAGGAGCAAGACTTTTGAGTTTTGTGTTTGCTTCATGGAGAAGCTGATAATTACAAGAGTAGAAGATAAAAGTATTCACTGTGTTGAAGCAACCTAGGTATCCGCAAAGATTTCAAGGACTTGTAGACACATGGCATGTTTAATACAATTAGTGCAAAACTCACTGATTACTATTTTCTTCTAAAAGATACTACTACCCAAGTTGTTTGCTTTACCTTGTTCATCCTCTCTCTTCTCAACTGAAAGTGCCTTTGTTCCATCGTAGCAAAATATCTTAATGCAATTCAGCTGTAGCAATTCAGCATTCTGCTTAATTTTTTTGACCTTATTAGCTATCTTGTCCATGGCTATTACTTCACCCTGTAAAAAACCCGATGTTTTTATCAAATGCATAGAGATGAAATGGATGTGCAGTTCCTGATTTCCTCCCCCAACCCACACCACATGCAGTGTAATGAATAAAGATTAGTTTTCCCTGCATAATTTTGTTATTCTTAAATCCACATTCCAATAGTCCTCGTTCTCCCATATTTTCCATGATACCTGCCTTTGGCTAGATAGACATTAGCTGCTCACTTCCTAAGGGACCTTATAATGTCTGGCTCCTGGCAAGTGGGTTTTTTGTTTTGTTTCTTTTTGTTTGTTCTGAACTGTTTTCTGAGCACTAAGGTAAAAATGTAACTATCTAAAAGCAGGCAGAAGTCAAATACATGGCAAAATAGGTCACCAGGTTTTAAATTTTCATGGAGATGGTAGGAAACACGGTCACATCCAACTCAATCCTGAGGAAATGAGGCCCACAGCTTCTGGCTTGCCCAGACTCATGAGTATACTTTCAGTAAATGTCACTCAAGTTACTCTGGGAAATACTGTAAACACTAAAATAAATTTAGATATGGTGGGGGGAATGTAATCACAGTTACATATTATTCCTTTTATGTAAGAAAAATATTTTTCTTTTCAAGATAAATCACAACAAACACACACCATTACATGCTACACAAAATCTCGAAGTGCAAAGGAAAGAAAATATTTTCAGTAGCATCAGTAAAATCCAGAACAGTAACCATAAAAAATGTAAGACTGATTCAAGTATTTCTGAAATGTTTATGATTTATTATACTGTCTGTGGAAATTTAGTACAGAAAACCTGTGAATGGAACTTAAGATTCAAAAAGCAGTGCAAATTTACTAATGGGGCATATATTTTTTGCCATATCTTAAAATTATTTACTCAGAAACGAAAACCAATTAAGATAAATTTCAACATCTGTATTCTTAATCTTTACCACTTCAGATGGAGGTATGAACAATCAAAATATCTAAAATTACTAAGGGAAAAACAGTTATGAAAAGTTATACATACATAGATGAAAAAAGTATAGATGCAAATAAATCCATAACAGAATGCTTTTCTAGGCTTCCTTTATTCATCACACTGAAATTCTTTAATGGAAGCTCTATAAAGCTAAGAAATGTCTAATGACTGTCTAAGAACTGTCTAATGCCTGTTAGGAAACCTTCCATCCTCAGGGAATGAACACTTCAATAAACAAACCATCACAGAACTCCCTACCTGTATTGTCTAAATACACTCCCATCATAATCCACTGCACCTTCCCATTCAAGCACAGAAAACTGTTGAAGTACTGCATAACTTAACTGCAAGATTTCTAAATAATCTGATACATTCTAGTAACCCTATTCCAAAGAAAATAATAATGCCTTACAAATTATTTATAGGAAACATTACACACTTTTCCCCTCTCCACTAAGAAAAGATTAATCTGCATTTCTGTCTTTCATTTTCCATACAGAAATTGGATATTATGCAAATTGTTATCCCTATGTGCACATTCTTTTTGGCTTGTGTGTTATTTTGTCCTTCTCTAAATATTTGTTTCATTTCTTCTCATATTGTTATTTTCTCATGAGATATTTTTGGTTTTGTGACCTTCTACCTTAGAATAACAAATTCTGACTAGATATTCAGTCTAAAATCTTATCTGTACTGCATAGTTGATAAGTTTTACTGAGAAGAAAGATAATTGGATTGCAAACTTTTTAATATACTTTTGTACAGAGTTGTGCACTCTTTTGGCAGACAGCAGTAACCCCTGATTTCCATATATTCTCAGTTTCATGAATCCAGCATATTCCTGCATAATTTTGCCTTGTACATTATGAATTCTCCCATTACAAATAAATCAATGAAATCTAAAAAAGTTAAATCAAATTTATTTCAACAGGTCAATCTGCAGCAAATAAGGTTTTAAATGTAATGATAACTATTTGATAAAGATAGTCTGAGCCCATATCAGTAAATCTGGTGTCTATCAAAGTATATTGGTAAACAGAACATTCCAATATTAATTGTTTGCTGTTGTAAATTATCTGTGCATTCTGACAGCTAAGTGAAGTGAGCTGTGCAAATGAACACAGGTCAGACACTCTCGAATGAGCCAGAACACAATCAATGGCTTGTTTTACCTGGTCATGCATTAATGTTGCAATATGGGTTGTTTTTCCTCCAGGTGCAGCACACATATCCAAAATTCTCTCTCCTGGTTGAGGATTCAAAATATGGCTCACAACCACAGAAGGCAAGTTCTGTCATAAAAACAAAACTGGGAGAATTCAAACCTTATGTCCTGTATCAAGTTCTGTACTAAGGAAGGACAGTCAAGATACCTAAAATTGCTGTTCAGTTCCTTAACAGAAAACAAACTATTGGGATTATACAAAAGAGACAGTATAGGTCTGAGGTCTCCAATGGTTCCTTTTTTATTTAAAGCTCTATGTGGGTATCTAAGATTGACGTATAAGGGTTTATGACTACAGAGACTACAGTGCTAAAAGTAAAATCAAAATAAGCTGGTAATATTATAGACACAGAGCAGCTCTGCATATTAAAAACATTTTATATTGACCTGTTCATTCGAACATTTACAATATGAAAATACTGGTATGGAACAGTAACAAACAGTAAGATCATTAGGCAAGAGTTTAAACTTTCTGAATTAAGGTACCAAGAAGCTGAACTGCCCTATTAATTGTATAAATAGAACAGGTGCATTGATAAGAAATAATATGCAAAAATTGTGCACAGTATTGCATCTTATGCAATATGGAAATATTCTGAAATATGATCTTCTAACTTGGTTCAACACAAAGGTATAATACCCTTTTAAAGTTGTCTTTACTACATGTTGTCTTCAGCTAGCACAGCTTCAAGTTTCTTGTCACGGAGTAAAAAAAAAAATAATAAAAAAAATCATCTCACACATGGCAAAGACAAGTGGAAAAAAACAGGCTCAAAGGGTTGTGATCAGTCGCACAGTGTCCAGCTGAAGGTCAGTCAACAGTGGTGTACCCCTGGCATGGACACTGGCACCAATGTTGTCTGACGTCTTCCTTAGGGACGTGCATAATAGAATAGAGTGCACCCTAAACAGTTTTAAAGAGAATGCAAAACTGGGAGGAGTAGTTGATAAAATGGAAGGTTGTGCTGGCCATTCAGAGGGACCTTGACAGGCTGGAGAAATGGAGAAACAGAACACTCATGAAGCTCAACAAACAGAATTGCTAACTCTGCACCCTGTGCACCAATACAGGCTGGGGCTGACTGCCTGGAAGGTCACATCTTGAAGAGAAGGCCCTGGGGATCCTGGCCTGTTGGACAAAAATTTGAGTATGATCTAAATTCTTATGTGCACCAGTCTCTTAAATAACCTGTTTCTCTAACAACTCTGTTCCTTGAAAACAAGTTCTCTGATAAGCTGAATCAGGAAAGAAAAGGCCTCTCCTTTATTACAGGCCATAAGACAATATATTGCTTGATAAACCACCCTTTGCCCACACTGGAAGACAGCACTGATGCTGTTTTTAAAATGTTAAGATCAACTACAAACAGAATATATGCATAAAAATAACTCATCTGCTGGACTGATCCTTCTGACAAATGAAATTATGACTAGGGCAATTCCCTGGATTTACCTTACTGTCTAAGTGGTAGTTATACAAATCCAATGAGAATATACATCTCTGAACAAGGATTTATTTGAGATAAAACTTCTATTTGCTTAAAAAATTTCAATAACTTTTTTTTTTCCTTTTTCGAAGGCTGGACAGCACTGAAATCGAGAGTTTTACCTGACCTAAGAAAACTAGGAAGGTTCCATGATTTCATCATATGTTCCAACATAGCACAGGCGGCCAATTGTCTTGCCTGACTTTTGCTTTTAATTAGTATTACTGTGGGAGAAAAGGAGTAGGTATCACACATATTAAAGATGCGAAAGGAAAAGCTAGACTGAATTAAGTTCTTAAATTTTACAATAAAATCTACAAAAAAAATTGGTCATTCTTAGGAAGCTCTGCAGTGTTATGGTTAGAGGCAGTGAAATCTGTGCTACTGTGAGATTGTTCACTTATTTTATTCTGGTGGGTTTTTTTCATTCATTAGGGCTAAAAGAATACAGATTTTCTCTTAAAGTCAACCTAATATTTGGAGATTTTCCTGATTATCTACAGAAAGAGGCTCCTATTTCAGAGTTCATACACCACCTCCAAAACCTGTAAGTTCTATGCAGAGTATCTGTTCAAAAAGAATTTCTAAGTTTCTAAGTGAATATCTCTTCACATCACTTTGAAGTTCCTTGTCAAACCTCAGACACAGTATGATTAAACCACATACATGTAGATACTGACATACGATAATACACAATGAATATATAAACTATTAATATGTGCTTAGAGGGTATTAATTATTCTGCAAATAGTAGAGACTTTTATAATTGCAACAAACATACCTGTAAAAACAAATGATTAGGGAGCACACTGTCAAAGGAAGGACTAAGGTAGACTGGTTCTATCATTCTTACACCCATTCCACTGAAAAACATGAAAAAAAAAAAGTCAACTACTCTGATTTATAACTTTAACAGTATACAATTAAGAACATTATGCTTACAAATAGAAACTTGAGAAAATAATCTCACAAAAAATGCAAACACTTATAAATCAACTAAGAAAAATATGTTTACAATTTTGCAATCTGATATTCTTTAAAATTACATCATGAAATTGGGTAAACCATGACAAAAATGTACTACATTATAAATTGGAAGTAGCTGTAAAAAACTATTTCTTTTTGTACATCAGATAAACTGAGATCTAATCCAAGCCTTGATAATGTAAAGAAATGCATAAAAACAGATTTTTAAATGTTAATTTCAATCTATAACTGCTTTTGGCTAGTCATGTATGCACTACGGCACTGGCACATACTTTCCTCCTTAAATCTTCCTCCATATTTCTACACTGACTGAGATTTCAGTGAAATGACTAAAGAAATTCTATTTCAAAAGCTTTACAAGAACATTGGCTTGCCTGCAAAGCAAAAGTTTGAACTTAGAAGCAACCTGTAAGTTTTCAAAATGGATGAAGTTCTGACACAGATTTCACTAAGTTAAGACAAATGTACAAGGAAATGGACAACAATAAAAAGGAAAACAAGAAAAAAAATACTGAGCCTGAAAACAATAGATTACTGAAGACAACAAGAATTACTATTACTTTACATATGCACTGCACAGTCCAACAAGAAGAAAGGATATGAGAAATCAAACTTGCAGACACCAGCTTTGGTGTTACATACTCCCATTCTACTCAACAGGTATTTCCTACCACTACCTCTACTATATTTAAGTTTTAATAAATCAGAAATCCTCTGATAATGTCATGTTTTTTACCAGATCTTCCATAGTTTGTTGTTGGGATGTAAATTCTTAGTCACTAATTTGATGTTTATGCTCTTCTACACTGCTTTTTATATATGATTTAGTTTACAACAGAGGAACAAACCATATGCTTTGGCAACAAAAAAATAGAAAAGCAAGTAATCTTGAAATAGGTAATTACCTTGGTAAATGCTATTAATTTTTTAAGATATCTGACCTTATCTTCTGTCTCCTGGACCACCGAAAAGAACCCCTACAAATATTTTTAAGAGATAGAGAAACTGACAAGGATGTACTTGTGTTTCATCCAAACAGGAAAGTGGTACAGAACGATTTACCAAAATGCAGTTTTACCACAGTGAGAATGCTTGTCACTTCTATTAATTTTATTATTGAAGTCATAGGCTAAATATAAATTCTGAAAAGGCTCTTATTTATTTCCTCCTACGTCTCAAGTAAACTGGTATCTGCATACCACTATGAACCTAAATGTTGACTCTGGTAATACTTCCTGTACTTCAATCACATTTGCCACATTGCCACTACCTTAGCTGTGAAGATAAAGTTGGAGTTACAACTCTTGGGAAAACAAGGCTCCCAAAAAATACTGGAAATCCCAACACACAACACAGGTCTCAATCAAAGCCATCTTGTGGTTTCACACAGGGTACAGGACATTTCAAAACTTCTTCCCATTTTCTTCCTTCCCTTTGCCACATTGTAGGTGTAGAGTGCAGTTCCTATGGACTTACTTCAATGGGCCACTTGAACTGAAGATTTCACTGCGACTCAGTTCTGCAATCCCATTTCCAAGGAAAACTTTGACTCCTTCAAATTCTTTGGCTCCTCTTTTACATTTCCCTTCAATATCTGAATACACTGAGACTAGATCTCCAGCTTTCATAACTGTGCAAAGAATGGAAATTTTGACATTAATATTATACTTGGTACAACAGTAGTGACCAAATAATTTCATACTTACAGCATCCAACTTACTTCTGTATCATAGCAAAATTTAAACTTTCTTAATGTAATCAAGGAAAAATATTTATATTGAGCTTTAAAGTGTATATGATGAGTTATGGTGACCAAATAACTAGAGCTAACGAGAGACACAAAGTTAGACATCAGACAGTGTGTCTTGTTTCTGAAGAGATTAGACAGTCTTTCACTTTATTTGTTGTATGGCCACATGGTCACATAGAAGCTAAAAGCACACTGTTCAGGATTTTGTCCTCTGTGTGTGCCCCAAGCACACAAATGCATCAAACAACACCAGTTCACACTAAGCACATCTAATGACCTCTCAATAGCTAGGTAGAACATAGCTGTAATTCTTTTGTTCTCTAACTATTGTTTTGATACAAATGATTATGTATTATTGTTGAAACAATTCTTCTGGTGTGGCTCTCTTCCCTCTAAGGCAGCTGTTTGCAATGATCCTCTAAAAAGAGTTTTACCTCTCCAGTTAAAACCCTCCAGATCAGTAAAGTATGTAAATCCACATCAAAGTCTAGAAGTGTAGTCCTAGAGACTTAACAAACTCTGAGCTAGAAAAAAAATAGGTGGAAAAGGGAGACGGTTTAGGTGATTTTGAAGAACAGTGAGCAAGTTCTATGCACTGACTGGCTGAAAAATATGGTTAAAAATAAAGGCCTCCACTGACAGCAATGAAAATTCCCAAAAATTACATTTCTGACATGTCTGACTAGCTGGGGCAACCAAAAGATATTTCAGCTTACCAAGAATTCAATGAATTGTATTTAGGAATATTTTTTTCAATTTTCAAGTAGCCTGCTGAATATGCACAAATACCCTGGAATTCTTAAACAGTACTATTTGCAGGATAACCACTAAATATTTCTTCTTTTTGTACAGCTTCTTTTTATACAATGTGACACAAAGCATTATGTGATAGCCTACTGTTATTGTCTGCAAAAATGTCATTGAACAAAAACTTGTAGCAATAATGCTTCCATCAAGCATATTTGCCAATGATTTGTTGCAGTATTCGAACATAAAGGATTTTATTTCACTGTTTTATTGTTGATGATTGTCTTTCAAAATATATTAGTACTCTGTGCAGGTCTTAAATTTGTTGTAGCTTATACTAGCATTTCATAAGCATAAAACTTAGAGTTTGATTAGTTAAATTAAACTCAAAGCCCCCTGATAATTAGTTTACCCTAATTTGAGTTGCAATGTCAGTGATTAAATGTTTGTTCTTGCTATCCTTTTTATTTTCCCTAGTTAGAGCATCTGTGCTTGATGCAGCCTCATTATATTTGGCCTCAAGTGGGTAGCATGCCCTTTTATTTTATTTTCCTGTTTGCATTTCCCTTGAAGTGTTCCTTAAGTCTTACAGTATCTTTAATTGTCTTTGAATTGTTGTTGCACACATAATTACATGCAGTAATTAGAATAAATCACTACTTAACTCAAAGAGGGATTTTCATATTTATGAAGTTATCAAAATAAGAAGTTTCAGCAACTCTAGGGCAATATACTTATTTTGTTTTCAAGTCCTAGATGGAAAAACATTCCTGTTCACTGAATTGAACTTAAGCACATGCTTAAAACTTACTGAAGGGCATTAAACATGCTCTTTAATAAGGTTTTTCAAATGGAAACAAGAAATTGAAATAATTGAGAATTAGTATGTCAGCTAGGAATTACATATGGAAAAAGGAACTTAAAACAGTCCAGGTGGGAAATAATTACATGTAATTTCTTACAAGCATAATGCAAAAATAGTGAAAACATTGAGAAGAAAACCTAAAAAGCCAGAAAATCTTTTAAAAAATTATAAATTACAACTATGAGATTAAATATAGCTGTGGATTTTTAAAAAATGTCACTGTTGGAAATTGTCATCAAGGGGTGACATTATTTCCTTCCTCTTTACAACTTAACTGGGTGTCTGTAGAGAAGTCTTACATTTTGAGGTAGATGTGATGCCAGGGACATAAACATGTGCTCCTCGAAGTACTGCATATCCACAAGGGGCTCCAACAATGACTTCAGATGCATGTTTTTTTAAATCTCGCCTAAAAATACAAAATGTAATTCAGTTTAAAAAAAAAAACAAAACCGTATACTGAAAAAAATAAATAACGCCCCAAGTAAACTCTAGTTCATAATCACTGATTTTGTCACAATATAATAGAAAAAAAGAATTAACTATTACGTTTATCCCCACAGGAATCAAAGGAAAGAGCCAAGAAGGAAACCAGCCCACAAAATAAAGCAGGTTCAGATACGTCCTGCCACTATTTTGAACCTGTCACAGGAACACAAACAAATTATACTGGGATAGAGAGACAATCCTCTACTCCTTCCCTGGCTATGTGATTTTAAAATTATTTATTTGTGTTTAGCAACTGCTAAGTATTTCCATAATACAAGTCTCCCTAAGTCTTGCTATGGACTTCATTCCAGTGGAAGAAAACCCTAATTGTATTTTCCTATTTTACCCTCTAGATCTATATTCCAGAACAACAGTTTAGTTGTTCTATCTGTCACCTTCCTGGCTTTCCAGAGAGGAGGTACTTTTGTTCTATTTTCCCTATAAAAACTGAACCTCATAAATACAGAAAAAAACCTGTTTCCTTACATCCTTTAAGGACTACAACTCAGACCTGGTTAGGATAGGGACTGTACACTAGGTCTTAGTATAAATGAAGTTATGCTTAATTTATAGTAAGATACTTATCATAACTGTTTAACAAGAGATTTGTAAATAAAACGTGTTATGACATTTTAAGCTTAAAACCCAAAAATTTCAAACCTGGGTCCAATGACAGGAATTAATAAGATGTCCTGGAGTTTTGGGTGCTCAAGAACTGGAACACATAGTCCTTTGAATTGCTGTTTCATTAAAAAAAGCATAATTATTAAGCAATACTAAAAAAATATAATATTTAAGTACCTAATTAAGACTAAGAACTATTTTTCCATTTGTAATGTATAGCTGTAGAGTACAATAAACAAATGTAGTGAAAACAGTTAAAATAGGTTTGGAAATAGTGTGTAAGGAGACACCCTAAATTTAAAAATATTGGTGTAAAACAGTAAAAATTCAATAAACTGAGAAATAACAAGGCCACAAAGGGATTCACTGAGAACTGACTTCAGGGAGTAGGACAGTCTTCCAACACTCATAAGCCTACCACTGTTTTTTTATTTCTTCTGGTTGTATTGAGTTGACATCAGATCACAGTAACACCACCAGAGTTTGGGTCTAATCTGTGTTAACATTTTGATGATGTTAACTATAAGCCACTGTTTAAGTCTACTCACGTATTGCTTGTTTTAATATGCCAGGTTCACATACTCTTTATTTTTCTTTTCAGCTTAACTTTGATTGGGTACTGGGAGCTGAGTTGTGCATGTAGTTGCTACTTTAAAAGTATTCCTGGACTTTGAAAAGATTACGTCTTCTTGCCTCACCTTTTAAAATACAACCCCAAAACATGCAAAACTACAATTAGTTTGCATATGACAAATGAATATTTCCTCCTAAGAAAGAAAACTATCTATGACCACACCTTTCTTAAAAACTATTGTGGTTTCCTTTTCTAACCTAACCACAATTAAAAATACAAAAGGTTTATGAAAAGCTAGTCAATTCAATTTTCAGCAAAGCATTCTCCCTTGAAGCAAAATATCATACTGCAATGCCCATTTCCAGATTTATACAATCAAGCTAAAATTAGCATAACTCATTATTATTCCAGTCAACAGAATACTGTCAACTGCCTCTGCATCACATAAATGTCTTGGCTCCTGTCATACAATAGCTCCCTCTACACCCACCAGCATTAATAATTTACTTAATACAGCTTTTATTTCTACCATCTTCTCTAAACTATGATAGCGATACTACTACAGTAGTGATCCAATCCTCTCTAAGGTCTGGATCTGCCAACTGAAAAAGAATTGGTTGTCCTTTCTCTTACGTTGCTGCCTTTCTTAGATGCATTAGATGAGGAATACTGCTAGACAAGGATTTTTCATTTAACATCTAATGCTGACAGGAAATCAATATGCCTACATAATGTAAATATTAGTGGATATGTATTAATTTAAAAAAAATTTTCAGTAAGGAAAAGCTCTCATAATCAGGCAAAATATGAAATATCCTGTTATTTCTTCTGTACCAAAGAAATTGCACAAACCTTCTGGATCTCTTCAAACAGCAATTTTTTCACATGTTTCACCGAGGCCAAGCGGGTATTAACTCTAACACTTGTGAAAGCTGGTGGATGAGATAGATGACTTAACAGTGACTGATATTTACTCTCCACCTCCTGTGTACCTAAAGCAGCAACAAGCTGAAAGAAGGTATTTTTAAAAGAGCATTAGAGGGATTTGCACAGCAGCCTTTTGCTCAGTGCAAAACACAAGCATTGAGTAAGTATTTTGTAGAAGTGGTGGAATATAGTTGTGTGGTGTGCAACAGTGAGAATTGCCTATGTCTGGAGGCCTAACTCCAGCAAAAACCTCATCGATATCTTGAAAAGGACTTTTTGGAAAAAGTCATATTAGCAAGGTCATTGTAAACTGGCTGCAGCAAGTACCAAAAGTAAGTGCTAGCAAGCTCTGTGGTACTGTACAAGGAACAGTCCTAAGGAGATGGAAGAGTAGATTCAAAATCATTAATAACTCTTATACAAATACATAAAACCATCATTTTTGTGTCCCTTGACATTAGGCATTCATAGGTTGTCTACAGTATTTTTGGTTCTGCACCAGGGTAAGAGAGTATTTCTTATCAATATTACATGGATAATAGGTGGTTAATTTTCCATGGGATCATTCTTCAGTGGGATCCAAAACTGAAGTCTCAGATTCATGCTAAGTTTCACTTAAGTATTTTTATGTTACTTTGAGCCAACCAGTCTAAAGAATAATTTTCTATTTTAAATGGAACTATATATAAAAATCTGTACCTAAAGTGAAAACAACACCCTTCTGTAAAGTATTAAAGTCACACAAAACATTAAGTCAAAGGAATACTAAGAGGGCTCAATAAGTGAATATTTGTTGATGATAAGTAGGAGCTATTTGACATACCTCATTATTTCTGAAAACTTTGGTGAGATACTCTTCAACTTCACGTTGGAAAGAGATTTTTGGGAAAAAAGACATCTTCCTTTAGCTGTTTTAAATCTGCTGGTAAAGAACTGAAATAAGCAAAATATTTTCTTAGTGTTTTTTTATAATTTTCTGTAGGTTTATAAATGTAACTTAAGACATACCCACAAACTAAGCTGCAGTTTCTGATTCTTCTGTTTCAATAATGAAATTTTACTGTACTCAAAATTCCAAATATTGCCCAGGATATGACTGTAACATGGCACAGAATCACAGAATGTTAGGAGCTGGAAGAGACCTCTGGAAATTATCAAGTCCAAACCCCCAGAGCAGTACGACCACAGAATCTAGGGCAGGTCACTCAGAAACACATCTAGATGGGTCTTGAAAATCTCCAGAGGAGACTCTACGACCTCTCTGGGGAGTCTGTCCAGTGCTCTGTAACTCTTACAGGAAAGAAGTTCTTCCTCATGTAGAGATGGAACTTCCTGTGTTCTTGCTTGCATCCATTGCTCCTCATCCTATCATAGGGCACAACTGATCCCCTCTCAGTCCTCTCTTCTCTAGACTGAACAGCCCCAGGTCTCTCAGCCTTTCCTTATAAGACAGGTGTTCCAGTCCCTTAATCATCCTCATAGCCCCTCTGTTGGACTCTCTTGAGTAAATCCCTGTCCCTCTTGAACTGGGGAACCCAGAACTGGACACAATACTCCAGGTGGGGTCTCACTAGGGCAGAGCAGAGAGGGAAGAAAACCTCTCTCAACCTGCTGGACACACTCTTATTGATGCACCCAGGACACCATTGGCCTTCTTTGCCACAAGGGCACATTGCTATCCCACAGATAACTTGTCCATGAGGACTCCAAGGTCCTTCTCCACAAAGTTGCTTTCTAGCAGGTCAGCTTCTAACCTGTACTGGTGCATGGTCTTGTTCCTTTCCAGGTGCAGGATTCTACACATATTCTTCTTAAACCTCATTAGGTTCCTCTTTGCCCAGCTCTCGAGTTTGCCCAAATCTTGCTGAGTGGCTGCACAGTCTGACAGTCAATCAGCCAATCCTCCCAGCTTTGTATCATCAGCAAACTTGCTAAGGATACACTACATTTCAGAGTATGTTCATTAACATGTTTAGCACTTGTCATCACCATGCAATGAGGTTTCAAGGCTACTGTATCAGTGTTCAACATGTGAAGCAAGTGTCTCTAGCACTAAATCCTTTCCCATTGAAGTTCCCCTAACTATCCTTGAGAACAACTTATCACGTAGTCCTATAATTCACTCATAAAGGCTCCTCAAAGAATTTAGCTTTGATTCTTCCATCTTTGACATTCTTATTCTTTTACATCATTACAGCTGTTCATTTTTAAGAAAAGTTGTAATTTTTCCCTATCAGATTTATTTTCCTCAAGTACAACTTCTTACATTTCCTCCATAGTTCAAATTATCCAAAATTCATAATGGGTGTGAATATTCACATGACTGTCGACAATTATTTAATTTTTTTCCTTATATTCTTAAAAAAAAAAAAAAAGGACTACAAGTAACACTTTTCTCTCACGTCTGTATTTAATTCACACTAGGACTAGCAAAGCATTTATGCAACAAAAGCTGTGTCCTCATGTTGAGCCAAGGACCGAAGTTGAGACAAGGAAGAAGGGAGGGCTGGGAGGAAGGTGGTTTAAGATCTAGTTTTAGTTCTCATTATCTTATTCTGATCTGGTTGGCATTAAATTATATTAATTTCCCCAAGTTGAGTCTGTTTTGCCCGCTGATGGTAATTGCTGAGTGATGTCTCCCTGTTCTTATTTTGACCCATGACTCCTTTGTTGAATTTTCCTTTCCATGTTCAGTTGAGAAAGCTCAGGGAGCAGCTTTGATGGGCACCTAGTGTTCAGCCAAGGTCAACTCACCACAGAAAGTCTCTTTTTAGAAAATTAAATAGGTATTTTATGATAACTGCAGAATCCCATAAAATTACGGAGATGATCTCACAATTACAGTTACTTCTTCATGGAAAACTAACCACTGATCTGACAGCATGTTGGCAACAGGACTTGTTTCTACCTCATTTTCATAATGTGCCTGAGTGCTAACGTGCAACATGACCAAGCAGGTCGTCAAAACCAAATCCTCTCGGTCAAAAACACTGCACACAAAGGACAGAACTGCAATGAAGTTCCCTTAATGTGTTATGAAAGGGAAGCATTAGCCCCATGATACAAATTAACACAGCTACATCAACAAGTAATGCAGAATCCGCTAGTTTGAAATTTCATACCAAAACCAGAAAAGTTACAGTGTGTTAGAAAACACCATCTTTCTAAGCAGAATGGCAAGTATATTGCAATATCTGCAATATAATGAAAACCAACAGGAAAACAAAAATACCAATAGATTTCACTTCTTGTAATGTAGACAGGGTATATGTCACACAGAAGCATCATGGCACATCTGTGCTTTTAACCACAGTTAAATGGCTAAATACTTTAGGAAATCCAAGGAAGATTGAATAGCAGAAATTATGACTTAACCCTGAGTAGTTCATAGGGCTTGGTATGACATGTTACTGCAGAAGAGCTGCTCTGTCACAGAAACCCAAAGGCCGGTGGACTCAACACACGCATTCGTATGGCAAGAAACCCACTATCGTTGTGCTTAGTTCACAGAGAGGAACAACACACAACTAAGAAGCAATTCCTTGGGTTAAAAAGAGCAGTCAAAAGAATAAAACCATTTTAAGCAGCCTGGAACTTTTAAAGCCACACAGATGGAGGCTCAAACCACATTCACACAACGCGCAGCTTCAGCACCGCATGTATGTGCTTTTAGTGCCCATTATCGCAGAAAAGATGCAATGGACGGCCTGTAGCTAGAGAATGGCCTTAAAATAAGTACAAACTGAACAGATGGCAATCTTCAGGCGGGGGCACTTAGCTGAGGGGGGATAGGGTAAAAGCTTGTAAATTCAGTCACAGCAGAAAGACAGGCTGATGAGGAATAATGCCTACTGCTTCTTCCAATACAAGAGTTAGAATTCAGAGGCAGCAGGAGAGAGGTTCAAAAGCAGAGAGGTCTGGGTTTCTTTTTTCAGAGACCTGCTGTGCCGTGCACCTTGCCACACACACCTGGTTCAGGATAACTCTCTGTTCACAAACCATTTCCTTAAGGATTTCCCTGTGCCTCTGTTGGGAGCTGCGTCCCGGTGGACCATGGCTTTGACCTAGGTCCGCATATAAGCACTGCGGGATTAGACAAAAGAAATCAGCACCCAGAAACGCCGAAAAAGATTTAACTTCCAAACCTGCTTGTGCAGCCCTTCCCACATGACCATAAAGTCAGTCGGCTCATCGCTGTGGGAATTTGGGGCTCCCTCCTTTATTCTCCTATCCGCGTTGTTATTTAAACCACTGAGCGTGGGAGTCACAGCTCTCGGCAGCCTCCCTGCAGCCCCGCGCAGCGCCCCAAGTCAGGCCCGGGGCACCTCAGGAGGTCGCTCCGCAGCCATCACCGCTGCCCCTGCTCCCCGGCGGACACCGAGGGAGAGAGGGGCCGGGCCCAGCCCGCACCAGGACACCACCACAAGGACGGAGCGGACAGGGCCAGGCCGGGCCGCGTTCC